CAATTTAAAAGTGGGTCAAGAAATGTCAGAATACATTGTAAATCAGTTTGATCTATTGCCTGCTCCATTCTTCATAATTCACATAAAGCTCTTCAGGAGGGCATGTGTGCATGTTCAGATGAACATAGATGCACGCCTACAACAGTTGGAATTCTGTTTAATGAAGATTGTTTTGATTGCTTGAAGGTTTATGAATCTCCTACAGATTTTTATAGGAAATGTGCACAGATTGAAGTGCCAGAGTTGAGGATAGGGCTAATGTGTACCTCCATGCATATTTCTTTATTGCCACTTATATTTTGGCTTTTTGCTCCCATTTCTATGCTTAACTATGATTTGTTCAGCCTAACATTTGAAAATGGGCAAAATCAGGTTCCTTACTCTTGCTGTAAAGCCACAAATCCCACAAACCTTTACACTTAATTAGCTAAGCAACAGTCAGATTTGTTCTGCTATTCAGAGGATTCCCACATAACCTCAAATATCCATCTCTACTTCCTAGGGTTCAAAATGAAGCAGTAGAAATTGCTTTAATGCTCTAAACTATTGAGTATCGATGACTAAAAACAGGACACAAGAAGCTCTGTCCAAATGCTGAGCCTTTTATTTAGAAGCTTAGGAATTGAACCTTGTAAGAGCACATACGTTCAAGCAGAGAATTCCCAGACAACTAAATAGCAAACATGATGCATGTTGGGTGATGATTTTTTCAGTTTTTGTGAACAAGACCACTAGTGGAAATCCAGTGAGCGTCCTAGCGTAAAAAAACTCTGAGACCCAGTGAGGTTCAAGGAGAATTCTTCATCTGAACCCTTCCGCAATCAGGAAAATCTAATTTTAGTTTTTGGTTTGGCCATTTTACCTGGCCTTACCTGTTTTGGTGCATAATGTCCTTCATAGCCTCGTGTTCTTACACGCACACACACGTACGTATATACACATATATTCCTGTCATCATGCCTAATTGCGTTTGAAGCCAGTGAGGGTAGCTTCAAGACAGAGGCTGAAAACTGGAAAGGTCAGCCAGATTAAAGCAGTTGATTGGAAACCTCAACATAAAGACGTCACAGGGAAGAGAGTGCTGCTATATTGCACTTGGATACAAGCAAATGAGTCATCAAGAGATGCTCTCCTTCTTGTAGGACATGGAACTGGAAGGGAGAAGCCATTGGCTGAATTGTACACCAATCATCGCTGTAACCAGGGAACGCTTTAGCCTTTTTTCTCCCTTAGAGCTTGGCAGAAATGAATTTCTAAAAAAACACCATAGTTTGGGTTTGCATCTTTTCTGCGCAGTGTATTTGTGTCTCATGGTAACAATTCTTTGCTTCCGCTTCATTCATTTGCGCAATAATTACTTCAAACTGTTTTTATTTCCCTTCATTTAATGTCTGTAATTGCTATTTCATATTCTCCTTGATGCTGTAAGTAAAGGAATTTTACAGATTGCAGATTTACAAACTTGATAAGTCTTGTTGCTTATTGCTCTAGTGATTATCCAGCTCAGTAAATTCCCTAGGAGTATTACCGTAGGAATTGCAACTACAATCCCAACTATCTCCTGCTAATAAGAGCGAATATATTTTACAAGATCCCAGGTTAGAAAAGAAAGGATACTGAAGCGGAATTTTTAGACTTCTAACTAAGGCATTTCCTAAAATATTTTTTAATGTAATAAATTTGAATAAAATCAAGAATCAAAAGAAAAAGATAGAAGTCAAAATAATGTGATTTATTAAGGGAAACTGAGATTTGTATATATGTGTTTTCTATTGAGTTTTGTTCTTTATCATGTTGGAAAAAAATCTGCTATTGTTTGTTAAAATGTTCATGTTTTATTTGTACATTTTAAAGTGTTGCATTATGTTTTAGAATGTTTATGGCATTTTATAACTTAATGTCATCTTTTATAAACCAGCTTGTGAGATTTGGCTACTGGGCTGTAGCAAAATTTAATGAAATAATAAAAGGCACCTGTGTGATGATGTTTAATGGGTCGTGCCATGGTAAACAAATTGGGAAATGTAGGACAAGGCAGAATTATATCCTCTTTTCATTAAAAGGCTACAGACAATGGGCAGAGATTGAGCTGAGAAAGACCAAAAAGATGTGACATTGAAAAGAAAAATAAGATTAAAGATGTGAACACTCAATAGGTCAAAATTTAAAGAAGAAATTTAGAACAAATCTGAGTATGCCTTTATACATTAAAGTAGAATACAGTGCTAGCACTTTGGTTCATCCTAGATTAGGGTGGGGAAGTATGGCCCTTTTATGATGTATGGAGTTCAACTTCCAGAATTCTTGAGCTGGCATGGCTGGCTCATGAATTCTGGGAATTGAAGTCCACAAGTCGTAAAGCGCCTCTCTTTCTTTCAGCTGTCTCTCAAGGTTGGCTGGGTTGGACCCTTGACTGCTGTCGCCTGCCCCGCTTCTCCTCCTCACGACTGATACCAAGTTTTGTGAGAATAAAAGCGGGCATGCAGAGAGAACTGGGAGAGGAAGAAGCAGGTCCCAAGTAGGTGGGCGGGCGCCCTACATACCTGCATTTTCCCCTTTTCTCAAAGCAGCCATCCCCTCTGCTCACTCATGCATGGCTTCCTATGTTCTAGCCTGCACGCTCCCCCTACAGGAGTGAGAAAGTGGTGTGGGAGGTTTGGCTTGATGGCCTGTTTTGTCTCGGAAGGGGGAGAAAGGAGGTGGAATCGCCCAGCAGGAATATGTCCTCCCTGGCTGTCTTCAGCCACCTCTCCCCCTTAGGCTCAACAGGTCTAGCCACTCGCTTTCCCTACTGGAGAAATCCAGAACCCCAAAAAGAGATGGCTGTGGCGCTTTGAAAGCTACTTGCTTTGAGATCCTGCAGATGCCACCTCAAATGTATGTAGCTTTGAGTTCAGCAGTCTCCATTCCTAGTAGGAAGTGAGTGGCAACCTGCAAGGTTGTGAAATTCCACCCCGGGGGGAATTTTCTGACATTTTGCAAGGCGGCTCTCAAAGAGAATGAAGCGGGTACGGTGCACCCTGCGGGATGGAGAGTTGGAGATGAGGCCAGTGCCTCCTGCCTGCTCACTCGCCGCTTTCTGTGCAAGCCACCCAGTTGACCAGGCAGGGCCCGGGTTGCAGCCGGCGGGGAGGGAGGGCTAGGCTAGCGTGAATGCTGCTTACCTGTGTGTAGGCAGGAGGAGGCAATTCTGTGGATCCACATGGCAAAGGCGAGGCAGGATGAGTGTCAGAGTGGGTGGGGGCGTGGCCAGCCAGTGCAATAAAAATTGCTCTGCGTAGGCGCAGAAGCAAAACTCAAGATGGGAGAACCGGTTTGGGGGCATGGCAAGCCTGGGGCGCTGCCAGTTCCAGCAACCCAGGCCTCCAAACCACTAGCGGTTTGGCTAGACCAGTCCGAACTGATGGGAACCCACCTGTGATGCAGCCCAGTCTGCCTTTGGTATCAATGTTGTATAAGGGGATTTATCAGGTGGAAGAGATTACTTGTTGTTCAATAGATGAGGCACAAGACTTTGGATGATACTCCCAGTTTGACTGGCAAATAGATGTACAGACACACACACACACACACACACACACACACACACAGAGCACAGCACAGTTTTTCTGCATATGGCTGCTTCCTGTTATACAGATTGCTGTCTGTCCAGCAATTGGCCATTCTGCTTATTTTTGGAACAAGAGGAGGAAGTGTTTACAGTTGCCCAGTAACTGTTGCACATCTTTATAATCAGAGTTCTAGA